CAGGACTGGATCATGGAGTGAGGACAAGGAGAGGAGACACCAGCCAGAAAGAAGCGGGCTGTGGACTAAGGAACTCCCTGAGTCCTCCCCGAGTCTCTCCACTGCTGCAAATTTTAAATCCCCATATTAACAGTGGATCTCTGGGCTCTCCTGGGAAAATTCCCTTCCTTCAACCCTCAGTGCCCCATGCAGAGAAGTGGGAGAGAACAAGCTTGATCTATGATGCAGCCAAGCAAGTTCTGGCCTTGCTAGTTAGAAGGATCCAGCTGTTGGTGAACAAGCTGGTGCCCTTCTCTTCTTTGCACAAAGGCTGCTCAAGGCAGACCCCTATCAGAGGCAGTCGTAACACACCAGGGTGCAGGCCATTCATAAAATCACACTGGAAAAGCTGACCAGGAACTAATTCTGGATTCCAAAGTGAGGCAATATTGCTCAAGTCTGTGCAGAGTAGGAGGGTGTTGTGACCCACTATGAGAACAGCTGGGAAAGGAAGTGGTGTATTGTTCCCTTCTCTTGGGTATCAGGGAATCGTGGAAGGAGATCCGCTGCTTTATTGGATGTGAAACTGCTGAGGAGGCAGAGCCCAGCTCATGCTGCCTGAGGGGTGAAGGGAAGCTTAAGTAAGGGGCAACCTCTCCATGTTATCTTGTATAAAACCTGGGGTATGCAGTGTGGAGAGGAGGTGGGCTATATTATAATGAAGGGTTAGCTATGGTGTGGAGAAGGGCACCTGCTACTGCTCAGTGCATGGGCAGAGGTAACTCATGTACAGAGGCACTTCTGGAGGAGGAGAAATGTGTCTCCTTCTCATGCTTCAGACAGGTCTCCAGAGCTTCCTTCAGCTGCCACGGGGGCCCTGAAATGAATGAACAGTTTTCTTAGAATCTCACTCTTGTATGTATGTAGCCTTTCTCCACAGGGGAGAAAAGGGCTAATGAACTTGCAGATGATACTTCCTTATTTAAGGTTACTGAAGTTAGACAAAACCAAAACTGACTGCAAAGAGTAGGAAAGCGGTTTCACAAAACTGTGTGTGCGGGCAACAAAATGGCCCGTGAAAATCAATGTCGATAAATGCAAAGTAATGGACAGTCGGAAACATAACCCTAACCATAAATGCAAAATGATTGAGTCTAAATTATCTGATAGCACTCAAGAAAGAGAGCCTCAAGTCATTGTGGACAGGACTCTGAAAACTTCTGCTCTGTGTGCCTACGCAGCCAAAAAAGATAACAATGTTAGGAACTTTTAGGAAAGGGAAAACGAGACTGAACACTAGGATAATGCCCCTACAAAAATCCATTTTACAACCACAGTTTGAATGCGGCCTGCAGTTTTGATGGTTCCGTCTCAATAAAATATAAGTACAGAGGCAGCCACCCAAAACGTTTGGAGGCATAGGAGAGGCGTCTTGCTTCTAAAGAGAAACAGAGTGTGCCTGGATTGCTGACTTAGATCTGGAGGCAGGGTCCTCTAGGTGCTAAAGAGCATGAACATGAAATGCTGCGATGTTGGGCTCTCTGGGAGTGAGGTGCCTTGGCATTTGAAATAGAACTGGTTGAAAAACATGGAAATGTTGTTGTGTTTTTCACTTTTCTCACTATGAAGACAAAACTTGTTGAAAAATGATCACTTGACAGCTCATGGGGAAATTATGTCCTAATTCAAAGTCTACCCAGTTCTAGTTTGAGCCCCTTAATCAGATCTGTTTTGCTGACTGCACGTCAAAGAGAAAACTCAGTTTTCCATAATCTGAGAGAGAGAACAATATTCAATTTTTCAAAAGTTGTAAGTTCTGAACTGAAATTCTAGTCTCAGAACTGACTTGGACCCTTAGGAGCATATGTGTTGTCAATGGCACTCTTAAGTGCATAAATCAGTTTTGAAAATGGGACTTAGAAACCCAAGTCACTTAAGAACCTTTCAATACTTTCCTCTAAGTTGCAAACAAACTCCTTCAGCTTTCTGGTGAGATACGGTTTCCTTCTCTTTCTAGGGCTATTGATCCCTGGAATTTGGTCTAGACCCCTCTTTTTTTATCAAGCCCTGGTTTAGGAAGTACCTTGATCTCCCAGATTTCGTGTCATGAGCAGGACTTTCCTTCCAAGTTAGCTGCCCTGGGCCATATCTACATTGTCAGAAATGGGATTTGCAATTCACCAGTGATGGCGCTGCTCTGGTGCCAGCCAGAACTGACACTGTAGGGGAGCCTTTTGCCAGTGTTGTCTAACCCTGGATGTGGTGTCGGGTGGGCTACAGAAATGCCGAGCCTCTGGACAAGATGGGGAGAGGCCAGCTTGGCACTTCTGGAAGGGACGGGGCCTTTGGCAGATGGGCAGGGCCGCAGGCAGATGGGCGACTATTCTGAGTGCCACCCAGACTACGCCATGTCCCCCTCTCCCAACCAGCCCGTAGCACCACTTGGCGCGCGCTGCCCAAGACTCCAGTGGTGATTTAGGGGAGAGGCAGCAGCAGCCAGAAACCTCCAGCTGTTTTGAATTTCTAGGCCCTGGGGTAGTTTCCATCTTTGCCCACTGATCTCGGACGGCAAGACGTGGTGATAAAAAAGTTTGAGTCTCATTAGCTATCATCAGTGGAGCTGGCCACTTTCCTATCTGACAGTGTCAGTAATGTCCCATGAGTAGTTCCCTCATTCCTCAAGGGCCCATCTGACAGACAGCTGACCTTTTGTAATTCAAGGCTTACAGGAGTCTGGGCGCCTTCTCCGCGGTGGTTTCTTCTTCTCACTAGGAGACCCATTATCACAGCTATCAGGACCTTGTTGATCAGGGCACTGACTCCCAGCCAAAGGAAGGCAGATCTCAAGTCCAGGGAGCTGGTAAAGAAATGAGAAAAGGGAGAGAAGCCATCAGTTCATAGGGGGATGCAGTCTAGACACAACCCAAGAGTATAACAGGGTTCAATAAATAAATTCCTGGAAGATGGGTCCATCAATGGCTGATGGCCAGGATGGGCAGGAATGGTGTCAGAAACTGGGAATGGGTGACAAGGAATGTATCACCTGTTCTGTTCATTCCCTCTGGAGCACCTGGAATTGGCCACTGTCAGAACACAGGGCAGAGCTGGTCTCTCCCCACCTTGCCAAAGGCTTGGCATGCTGCTGGCTAAATGGACCTTTGGTCTGATACAGTAGGGCCGTGCTTATGTGACATTGCCAGAGACACTGATCCTGAGCCATGTTTTAAAATGTCTATTTATTTCTACTCTTTCTGTTTGCCAGATTCTGATCAAAGACAGTATTTGGCCTTTCACCCTCAGGTTCCTGGAAGATGGGTCCATCAATGGCTAGTGGCCAGGATGGGCAGGAATGATGTCAGAAACTGGGAATGGGAGACAAGGGACAGATCACCTGTTCTGTTCATTCCCTCTGGAGCACCTGGAATTGGCCACTGTCAGAACACAGGGCAGAGCTGGTCTCTCCCCACCTTGCCAAAGGTTTGGCATGCTGTCGGCTAAATGGACCTTTGGTCTGACACGGTAGGGCCGGACCTTGCCAAAGGCTTGGCATGCTGCTGGCTAAATGGACCTTTGGTCTGATACAGTAGGGCCGTGCTTATGTGACATTGCCAGAGACACTGATCCTGAGCCATGTTTTAAAATGTCTATTTATTTCTACTCTTTCTGTTTGCCAGTTTCTGATCAAAGACAGTACTTGGCCTCTCGCCCTCAGCATGGCTTAGTTTCCTTAATTACTTCTTATGAAGGATTGTGACAAGGCTTTCTGAAACTTTAAATTAGATCTGTCAGTTATCTTCTGTCCCCTACGGTGTTGATATGCTGAAAGAACTCTGGTAGATTAGTGAGGAGAGAGTTTTCCGGATGGGAAATGCTGCTTTGTTCCTATCCTATCCTGTTCACTAGGCTACCTGTAGACTGCACGCCTCTTTCGAAAAAGAGCGTCTAGACTACAACCAGTACTTTAGAAAAAGCAAGCCACTTTTTTGAAAGACAGCGCCCAGGCAGTCTGGATGCTCTCTTTCGAAAAAGCACAGTTTGCATTACATAGAACCTTTTTTCGAAAGAACACTTTTGAAAAAAGGCATTATTCCTCGTAAAACGAGGTTTTCCGCAGTTGAAAAAACTGCTGTGTTCTTTCGATTTACTTTCGAAAGAGTGCAGCAGCAGTCTAGATGCAGGGGAAGATTTTTCAGAAAAACCCTGTTTTAGAAACACAGGTGTTTTATATCTTTTTATTTCAACCAGCTGAACTGGCGCTGAAGGGACACTCACTTGATATTCTGTGATTCTTGGCTGTAGCTGAAGTTTGTGGAGTTGGAGTGAAGAACAGGTGTTGTGTACTCAGTACTTGGGAAGAGAGTCCTTGCTAAACCTGCAAATAAAACACATGGAGAGGAACAATCAGCCTGTTTCAGAGATAAGACATGGACCTCAGTATCTGTTCATGTCACACTCAGCCTATCTCTCCTCTACACACATACTGCAGTATAACTAAGTCTTTCAGGGGTATGAAAATTCCACAGCCCAAGTGACATAATTATACTGATCCTAAACCTCCATGTAGACAGGCTCTGGCAGTGGAAGGACTTCTTCTACTGACATACCAACAGCCTCCCACATGGAGTGGAGTTATTGAGCTGATGGGAGAGCTCTCTCCCATCTGCTAATACCCCTGCACTGATGCAAGATAAGTGTGTAGCGTAGACCTTCCGTCAGAGTTATGATGCATGACCTGGGGATGACTACAGCGAACTCTATTCCAGACACTTGGAGAAGCTGGGATAATCTTTCTCTTTCAACTTCCTGGTGATGGGCCAGAATTGAACTAGCTAGTCCACCTACTCACCCCAGCACACTGTCATAACGCCCTAGGACTCTGAGCTGCTGTGTGGTACCATTCTGTACCTGTACAGTGGTGCAGGGCACTGCTCTGGGCAACACCCACTGATACGGCTTGGGGCTTCCATTGTTGTCTAAAGCATCTGTTCTTGGAATGAGTTCAGGGAAGTTGTGTGATCTGTTACACATGAAGTCAGACTAGATGCTCACAGTGGTCACTTCAGGTCTTAGAATAAATACATTTCAGGACGTTGTTTTGCATAATTATAGGTAGTCCCCGACTTACAAACACATCGACGTACGACCAGCCGCACTTACGACCAGCCTCCCATTAAGTGCAGCCCTGACTTATGAACGGCGATCCATGCTTATGAACAGCTCAGTCCCATTGAAATGAATGGGGTCCAACTTACCAACATATCGAGTTTCGTCCAAGTGCTTGGAATGTAACTCGTTCGTAAATCGGGGACTATCTGTAAAGGATTTTCCATATTTTAAAAAAGAACATTTTCCAACCAAATGGAAGGTTTTATTTTGGTTGAAAAAGTATTTTCTCTTGGAACTAAGTTTTGATGGAGAATTTTCACCCAGCTCTCCTTCTCGCATACACTGCACATCCTCTCCTCGATGTAAGCAGATTTGCGAGCAGCTATGTGGCGGTGATGGGTACAATGAGGATTCTGACACTTTAAAAGTTCATGAAGGGGGACTAGATTGTTCCTCTACTATCCACATTTCTCCTGAGATTTGAACATGGATGAGTTTATAGCACTTTATTGTGCCCTTACCTCATCAGAGCATAAAATATACATCTTAGTAGCTATATGGGAAGACTTTTCTCCACCAGAGCCCTTGATCAGGTTCAAGACCCCATTGGGCTAGACGCTCTATAAATAGACCTGGATCTGTTCCCATTTACTCTGTGTTCAAAAGGAAGCTAAAGCCTACACTGGTTTTTCAAAGGCTGAAGTTTTAAAGGATTTTTTTTCTCATATTAAAACCCAAGGGAAAGTGACTCGCACAATGGCTCTTACAGGTAAAGCTACTGAGTTACACAAAAGTATAATGGTGTTTCCTATTTACAGCAAGGGATGGTATATAAGGAATAAAATAAAAGCCATGAAGTTCTATAATTCTGGCTTCAGAGCTTTAAAAAATGGTGCAGCTCTGAAGTCTGGAGTGCAGAACTAGTCATGGTGGTTCAGCATTAGAGATTCGGTTTTTTTAGAGTTTTTTTCCTCTTGAGTCTAAATTAAATTCAGTATGTTTCACATGAGCATTAATGGGTACCATGGGCAAACCCGTGGCTCGGGGAGACAGCTCTAGTCCTGCCTCTTTCACCTGAAGCCCCATCCTGTCTATGCCCCAAGCCTCCCCACCCACAGTGGCCCTTGGCCTCTCCTTCCCAACCTCAGAGCCCGGGGTTGCAAGGAGCAGAGGGAGACTGGAGAGCTGGATGGGTGGCGTGGGCCCAGCCGCCCCAGAGCAACAGGTGGGTGGCATGACCCTAGCCATCTAGGTTGCACCACCTCAGTGGCCCTTCTTCCAATGAAGCTCTCCCCGCCCCAGCCGAGTCACCAGCTCCAGTGCTGGACAGCTGGAGCGGATCCTGGGGCACACTGGGTCCCCCAACCTATCTGCCTCCAGGAGTAGGTAGGAGGGGACCTAGAGGCAGAGCATGAGCAGGGTCTCCTTGGGCAGTTTGGGAAGGCAACGCCTTCTTGTGCCTATGTTACCCACCACTGATGATTGATACACTAAAAACCATATTACAATGTGTGATGTAGCAGCTACCCCAACTGGTAGAAAGGGGTTAAAAGCAGCCAATAGAAAGCAACTGAGAGCAGCAACCAGTCATGGCCCAGTAGGTTCATATAAGAAGGGCTGCAGGGCAGACCAGAGCTCATTAGCTGACTGGAGCTTGAGAGGAGAAGACCAGGCTCCTAGCAGGAAGAAGCACCAATACCTGGGACAGAGCAGTGCTGAGGCCCAGAGATGAGGGCAGAAAAGGATGCTGGAGCCACTTGAGAAGCGGACCTGGGACATAGACCTGAAGTATCCACTGAGGGCGTGGCTATAGTTCCCATGACAGCCAGCAGGAGCCGCTATAGTGGTGACTCCGACCCTGGCACACAAGGGTGTAGCAAATATAATGTTTCCAAACTCCATCTTTTTGTCGCCTCATGTCCCTTATCTGTCCGTCGTGTCCACTTTTGAACCCCCCTATACAGTAGAGGCCCTAGACGAGCTGCTGGCAACTGGCACCCTAAGCGAAATGCGTGATCGGTGCGCGATCGGCGCCTCCGCCTCCACATCCCTCAATGGCTGTTTAATTTGGTGCCCTAGGCAACCGCCTAGTTCACACCTATGGATGTGCCACCACTGCTCCTATATTTGGATTCTCTTCAGCCACAAGGATCATGGGTTTGTCATATTTGTGCAGTTCCTGGCACCATGGTCCTGGATGATAGTTTCTTAAGCTGGTTAAAATACGGATCCATTCCATTGACATGCTACCATTTTATGGCTGAAATGCACTTTGGTGAATTAAGTAATATTCCTGTTAGCTGGACTGGATTTCAAATGCTCAGCTGCTAGGGAGATGCCTAGATGCTGTCAGGGTTTGGGCCAGAGAAGTGCCTAGATAGAAAAGACTGAAAGTGTTCTCAAATGAATGGGAGAAAACTGACATTTAAATAGGTCATTAAAACCAGAAATATCCATCTGGGCAAAGTGCTCATCTCAGCTATCGTTCTACATCAGTTGCTAGTGTGAGCCTTAAGAAAGGACACAAGGTGTTTTTGGCAATGGGAGGCAATTCAGGAATAATATTGGGAGGAGGTGATACAGATTCAATGGCAGAAAGAGGAAAGAGGGAACAGGGATGGTGGGGCTGAAACTGCAAAATGAAATACACCCCCCCCCCAGACACGTTTTCCCTACCAGTTAATACTCACCCTTGGTAACAGTCAGTTTAACTTCAATTAGTAGGTAAAGATTGGGAGGCTCGTAGAGCGTGCACCAGTACACCCCGGCATCGTCTGTCTGTAGCTTCTCCATGGTGACAGTAACAGTCCCGGTCTGGGTGTTGTCATAGATCATGGCTTTGCCATTCTGAGCCCTGTTATGGTACGTGACGAGCCCATCATCAATGCTGACCAAGTCAGCACATGTACTCTGAGCTGTCCTTTGGCACCAGGCTTTCTGTGCCTTTTTGTAAAGTTCTGTGTTGTACGGACACTGGACAGAGAGACTCTGCCCCTCCAAGGCATTGTACTCCTGGACTGGAAAACACAAAAACAGGTCAGTATGATCCGGTGACATACACTTCCCAGGAGTGACATATGCGCAAGCGGCCAAATTCTTCCCTGGGGTAGCGCCATTCACCAGCTTCAGTTGAGTTACAGGAGGGGTGAATGGGAGCTGGTGAATTTGGTCTCGTTTGCCTCGAAAAACAACTGTGTGGGCTGTTCCCTTTGCACTTTATCATCCCAACATCTCACAGAGTGAGGTAAGTGATTGACCTTTTCCGGGCCAGATTCTGCACAGAGCTCAGTGTGTGGGGCGCACTTTGGGTCCTGAGCTCTTGGAGATCTGTGATTGGCACCGAGCACTTTCAGATGTGACCCTCAGAGTCTGCTCCTTTCATGAATACACTTCACAACACAAATTGACAATCCCCCTATAGAAGCCATGAGAGGGGAAAGCAGGAAAAGCTGGACTGGTCGGTTGGCTGAATTGCTGAGCTTAGCTGGAGATTTACAGCAGTTTCCAATGTGAGACAGGAAAGAGGAGATAAGGTTGTGTGGACAGTGACAGATTCTCGGGGAATGCAGGAAGAATGGATACAGGCAATGCAGAAATGAGAAGGTGGGGGAAGGAATGGGATGATACTCAGTGGGATACTCACCCTTGTAAACATCCAGTGTAATGGCCTTTAGTTGCTGCACTGTATTAGAAGAGCCAAGGACTGCACACCAGTACACTCCGGAGTCCTGCACCTCCAGCTTCTCCATGGTGATGGTCACAGTCCCCTTGCTGGTGTCATCCTGTATCGTGGCTCTTCCAGCCGTAACCTTGTTTTTGTATCTGCCTGGTGATGTGTAAGAGGTGCTCACTAAGAGAAAGCAGCTCTTCTCTCTTAGTTGGCACCAGGTTTTCCCCATTTCACTGTATTGCTGTGCATTGTAGGGACACTGAATGACGAGACTCTGCCCCTCCACTCTGCTCTCCATGGCGTTTTGTGCCTGGGATCCTGGAAAACAGCAGCCCTGATCAGTAAGAGCTGCGATTGGAGCAGGGTGGCCTGCTGAGTCCTGAAAGCCCCGAACTCCAGCGCTTGGACGGAACACAGCCAGGCCATGTCTACACTAGGAAATTATTTTGAAATGACCAAATTCGACTTAACTCCTGATTTAACAAATTGAAATAGTGTGTCCACACTATGGGGACTCTTCGAAATCAGTCCAAGGCAGGCTCTGATAATGTGTACACTCCCTCGGATTAGAGCTCCAGGAAGTCCTGGAGAGTAATTAGTTCACGTTACTCTAGGGAATAGTTAATTCAGTATAGAGGCCCCAGAGCGTCCACACCACTGTGATTTCAAAATAACTATTTTGGAATTAGTGTTACTTCTGATGAAAAGCAGGGGTGCAGATTTCATAAGAACGGCCAACTTGGGTCAGACCAAAGGTCCATCTAGACCAGTATTCTGCCTTCCAACAATGACCCTGGAAGGAGTGAACAGAACAGGTACTCATCATATGATCCCTCTCCTGTCACCCATTTCCAGACAAACAGAAGCTAAGGACACCATTCCTACCCATCCTGGCAAATAGCCAGTGATAGACCTATCCTCCATGAATTTATTTAGCTCTTTTTTAAACTCTGTTAAAGTACTAATCTTCACAACATCCTCAGGAAAGGAGTTCCACAGATTGACTATGTGCTGTGTGAAGAAAAATTTCCTTTTGTTTGTTTTAAACCTGCTACCTATTAATTTCATTTGGTGAGCCCTAGTTCTTATATTATGGGAACAAGCAGATAACTGTTCCTTATTCACTTTTTCCACGAGTCATGATTGTATAGATCTTTATATTATCCTCTCTTAGTCTCCTCTTTTCTAAGATGAAAAGTCCAAGTCTTTTTAATCTCTTCATATGGGATCCGTTCCAAACCCCTAATCATTTTTGTTGAACCTTTTCAGAACCTTTTCCAATGCCAATATATCTTTTTTGAGATGGGGCAATCATATGATCCTGGATGATTGTAAAAAGGCAAATGTAGTGTCCATCTTTAAAAAAGGGAAGAAGGACAATCCAGCGAACTACAGACCAGTCAGCCTTACCTCAGTCCCCGGAAAAATCATGGAGGGGATCCTCAAGGAATCCATTTTGAGGCACTTGGAAGAGGGGAAAGTGGTCAGGAATAGTCAACATGGATTCATGAAGGACAAGTTGTGCCTGACCAATCTGATTAGCTTCTGTGATGAGGTAACTGGCTCTGTGGACATGGGAAAGTCAGTGGATGTGATATACCTTGACGTTAGCAAAGCTTTTTATATGGTCTCCCACAATATTCTTGCCAGCAAGTTAAGGGAATATGGATTGGATAAATGGACTGTAAGATGGATAGAAAGCTGGCTAGACTATTGGGCCCAACAGGTAGTTATCAATAGCTCAATGTCAGGTTGGTGGTCGGTTTCTAGTGGAGTGCCCCCAGGATCTGTTCTAGGACCAGTTTTGTTCAACATCTTTATTAATGACCTGGATGAGGGGATGGATTGCACCCTCAGCAAGTTCGCAGATGACACTAAGGTAGGGGGAGAGATAGATACACCGGAGAACAGGGATAGGGGCCAGAGTAACCTGGACAAATTGGAGGATTGGGCCAAAAGAAATCCGATGAGGTTCAACAAGGACAAGTGCAGAGTCCTGCACTTGGGACAGAAGGATTCCAAGCATTGTTACAGGCTGGGGACCGAATGGCTAAGTAGCAGTTCTGTAGAAAAGGACCTGGGGGTTACAGTGGATGAGAAGCTGGATATGAGTCAACAGGGTGCCCTAGTAGTCAAGAAAGCTAATGGCATATTAGGGTGCATTAGGAGGACCACTGCCAGCAGATCCAGACATGTGATTATTCCCCTTTATTCGGCTCTGATGAGGCCACATCTGGAGTGTTGTGTCCAGTTTTGGGCCCCCCGCTAGAGAAAGGATGTGGACGCATTGGAGAAGGTCCAGCGGAGGGCAACCAAAATAATGGGGGGGGGGGGGGGGGGGGGGGCGGATGG